CGTGTAGGAGTGTTAAGAGGTGCCTGGTCAGATATAAGAGGTATTGAGGCAGACTTCAATGCAGGGTGCTTTTCCTGGCCTCTGGCCTCATATGCCCCAAAGTCAGGGTCCAAAGAGCGTGTTGCATTGGGTACTATGAGCTGGATGAGGTGCACATGAAGCTCTTTTCTGCTGACAGAAAGGCTGGCTCCTGTCTTTCAGGCATCAGCGCTCTCCCTTTACTGACAAGAGAGTTGCTACAGCAACCTGCTACAGCAGACCTTCTGTGCCTTATGCTTACTGTGAGGAGATCAGTTGGCAGCTGTGGTGTGAGCATTTAAAACCATGGAGTGGACTTGATGGCAATTGTTTTCTTCTGCTATTAAGTCAGAAGTGTTTGCCTGCTGGAAGAAGACAATTTGCGGCAGTGAATTCTTTACAAGAGTGAAATAATCGCCTAAGGTAAATGGTTTAAGCACCAACTTCTGCCAGCTGTAGTGTACCAAACACCCAGACGGGATCCTAAGGCCAGTTCTGCTTTAGACAACATGGTTGAGCGACTTCTTCTGCACCTCTGTCTGGCAGTCTGATGTATTTGGAATGTGCCTGCTTAGCAATCTGCTCTTTTTCTAGCTGAGTTGCTGTTTGGTTTGTGTTTTTCAGAAGCGCTCTGGAGGTGTATGTGCTTACCTGCGCCGAGTGTGCTGGGCAGCACTGCCATTGCAACTACTCCTCTTGCTCCTCCTGCTCCTGGCCTTTCTCCTCCCCGTGGTAGAAGAGACCCACAGCTGCAAGCTGGCCAACAACTTTGCTCGGTCCTTCAACCTGATGCTGAGATACGAGGGCCCACCTCCAACCTAACTTCTCGGCATGGCAAGAGGTGACGGTCTCAGAAGTAGGCTGGTTCTCTCTTGGTTTTTAATTGCAAGTATTGTAGATTTTAGGGCTTTTAATAAGGCCGTCATATTAACTGGATTTGCCACATAAATGCAGCATAATACTAGTCCACATTAATCAGGTATATGAGCAATTTTAATATTTTTACAATATTGTATTTATAATATGTATATATAGATTGTGTATGTGTCTGTATGTGTGTGTATATATATATGTATGCTTACGTATATCTCTGTTATAAAAAATAACTCACTGCAACATTGTAAAAGAGAAAAGATCAAGTTCTTGTTGTTTACAACTGAAGTCAGAGTAAGTATGAGAAGATGTGAGTATGCACCAGAGTGAAAATTGGAGAGCAGGCAAAGCAGAATCATGTTTAAATACAGTGGTCGACATTCAACCCAAGCAAAATTTGAACAATTCTGTTTAAAATCTTGAGCTGTTTTTTTCGGTAGCTCAGTGCACGGCTTGCAGAAGGTAATGGAAATATTCCCACTGACTTCAGTATGAGTGGGAGCGGGCCTCCTCTTGTTCTCATTTTTTAGCAGATTTCTTTTCCAATTACCGTGTTCTCCAGCCTACCTGAGTCGGGCGAGGAATACAGTAGGAGAAAAGCTGGAAAAAAGAACTTTTTTTTTAACTATATCCCTATAATAAGGGAACTTTTAAAATCAGGTAATAATTTTCTGAGAAATTTGTGAGGTTCACTAAGCAACACCTTGTATCAGTGATCATGTCTTTAAAAAGTAATAGGGATTGTTTTGCTTTACGAAGAGGCATTTGTGAGTGGATCCATAAAGCCTAAACAGTTGGATGCAACCTGGCTCGGCATCAGCAAAGCGTCAGCATCACCGAAGCAAAATTTTAATAATACCACCGTAGAAACAAGATTCCTTCCTAGTTGTTATATTCGTGATTTGTTAGACTGATGTAAACTGATTGCATCAAAGACAGTCAAGCATGGATTTCTATATAGTCTAAACTTCAAGGTGATGACAACTTGTCCTTTATTTATCTAACCTGATGCCTGGTTTATCAATTTTTTGAATGTACATTTTAACAGTGCCTTTTAATGTAAACATAATTCTCAGCTTTACTGTGATGAAATCATTCCTTGTGGTGTTCTACCTAACTGGACTTCTGAGAGAGAAGGCAATTTCTAAAACCGTATGCCATTTCTGAGGGCTATCCCTATTTTACCTTCTCTTTAGCCTCAGTGGTAATCATCCCAAAAAAATGTTAACAGAAGAAACAGTTACTTTCCCCATCCCAGCTGTCTTGTGGGAGGAGCTTCTTTTCGGGGTAGCAGCCTGTGATATTCAGTGTTGTTTTCCAAACAAGTCTCAAAATAATATTAAATCTATTGTGCAGGTGAATTATTTAGTAGCGGAGGGACACGAGTAGGAAACAAACAGATTTTTGTTACGGATTTTTCTGTAACAAAAACATGAAAGTTTTGTTAAAATGAGAAAGTGTGGATAGAAGACAGGAAGGCACAGAAGCAAGGAACTTGTTTTAGGTGCAGAGCAGAGGGGAACAGACAGATGTGAAAAGAAGACTAGGTAAAGACAGAGAAGAGAGGTGACTAGGTAAAGATAGAGAAGAGAGGTGTCCAACAATGCATAAGCCCTAAGAAATGGGATCATGATGAACAGACAGGACAAGAATATAGGCTCGAATGAAAATAAATCTCTTCAGTCCTGCTGATCCCATCTGCCTGCTACAGCATTGTTACTATTGCATATTAAACAGAGCTTTATTCAGTGGGATTTAAAATGGGGCAAGCAACAGGGACTCTACTAGCGTTCTGAGGAGACTTCTCCACTGTCAAGACTCAATCACTGTGTTCCTAATAGTGTTTCCAATTATACTGGTTTTGCAAGACTCCGATAAAAATGTCAGATTTCCACTAAAAGTGAAAGGAGGCTGGAAATTAGAAGAAAGATATCAGGGAAGATGAAAGTATTCATGTAGAGCTCAAGAAGTGTGAGGAGGATCTGAACTGATGCAGGTTAAAACCTGACTGCTAGGAGGTAGGAAAAGAGATCTGGAGAGCAGGCAGAGGGGGAACTGCAATCCAAAAGTGGAGGAGAGAAGACATATAGTGAGGGAGAGAAATAAGACATTCGCATCTCAACAGGGAGGGAAAGAAGGCATGGTCTGTGCTTTCTTTCATGAAGGAGCCAGATGGAAAGGTGCTATAATTCATCAAAGAATGGAGCAAATGAATTCCTTCTTTGCAACTGTTCTTTCTGGTGGCAGAGGATGTGCCTCCTCTCCCCCGATTAGCTGTTCAAGAGCCATGCACGTTTTCACAAGGCTTCTGTAAAAATTGCTGCCACTTCTGAGGGAAGAACCCTGTGGCTGTGTGGCAAGAAGCTAATCATCATACACATCTCCATTTGAAATTAAATGCTCCAGTAGAAAAGAAGTGTGGGGGAAGAGGGGCAGTAACAACCCTGCTGTATGTGTTTGTCTATAGGTGTACCTGTGCATGCGCTTTTCTGTGGCATAGCTATGTTGCGCTTCTCTGTGCTTTGGTTAGCTGTTCCCTTGTGCTGAAAGTAAAATGCTAGTGAGAGGGAAAGAAAAAAGTAATGTGGAAAAAATGTAACTACTAGAGAAAATCAGCAGAGAGATAGCCAAGTCTTACTGTGAAAGCACAGAATCTCACATCAGTTTCCTTTCTGACCAGCCTTTCTGCTCTGGATGTTTTCTGTGGGTTCACAAATGCATGTGACACTACAAAAGTATGCAACTGGATAATAAAATTTCCGTGGAATGGACCATAAGAGAACAACTGCAACATCACCTTGATGTTTCAGGGTTGTGGCAGGTTTAAAAAAAACCCTAAATTAGAAACACACTTTTGCTGCTGGGTTGCATTCAATTTATTCTGTAAATCCCCTGTCTGTAATCTTGGAGTCTTTTTGCTTTAAATCTCAGCAAATCCATTCTGATAAACTTCAAATAATTTAAATATCTCACACAAGTGATGAATCTTTCTGCTTTTTTGCAAGGGAAACTGTCCGAAGCACAGGGCCTTGGTTTTCATCTCACTTAGAACACTTTCCTTCGTCTATAAGTGTCGTTGACCTCACCAGGGTTGTTCCTGTCTTACGCAGATGAGAAATGAAAATTAGGCCCTTTATTTTTCTAATAAAGAATTTAAAAAATCAGAAAAGTAAGTTTGAAATGTAAATCCAAAACTTAGTTTGAGATACTGATTTCTGGGAGCATAAATACTAATCAAGTCAGTGGTTTGGACAATGAAAACAGAATGCCCAGTTCAAGTTCCAGGAATATAAGCAAAGCTTAGATTCCTTAAAATACCTAGTAAATCATTTACCATTAAACCATTTCCAAATCAGTCATTAAAATCTTGAGCACTGTTCTTTATGCCTGAATCTTTGCTCACACATGATTTGGTGTTATGGCCTAGCTTTTTTACCTACACAATCCCAGCTCAAACCTCTCTGGCATCTATATATAATAAATGTTTTTTTTATAGCTCAGCTTCAGACTGGGACCACTGTCCAAAGACACCCCTTGGTGAAAGCCTAAGATCCGCAAAACAAATAAGTGTCCACAACTGAGTACTCATGCTGCCTTGCTCTAATCCAGATCCAATCACTGTCAGTGTGCTAAAGCGCTAAAATAGACCGAACATGTTTGAGCTTGTAAATTGTGCATCTGTCTCAAGCCACATAGCCTATACTGCATGCAGATATCCAGCCTGTTTACAGAGCACAGCTCTTGTGCATCTGTCCAAGCTCTTTTGCCTGCACAATTGGACCTAGTATTTGACTGACCGCATTAATGACTCTCCAGTGTTGAAGGCAAAATCCTGCTCTCCAGTGCCCATGTATTAAAGTAAGAATTCTGCACAGCCCCAAGGGCAGACTCCAGACTCAGCCTTTGGAGTGAAAGCAAGCCTAATTTATGAATTGTAATTGACTTTGTAGCCAGACACTTTAAACAGTATTTTCTATGACTGCAGTACAGTGAGGCAGAGATTTGCTGTTGTGTTACATGTCCATTAATAGCCCTTCCTCTGATTTGAACTAGCAATTAAGATTGTATTACCTACTATTAATATATGACCTCTTCAGAAATATCTATATGAAAAACATATTCCGTTATATGCACACACATTGCAAAAATCATTTTCTTCTGAGAAAAAAAAAGCAGTCATAGTTTCTACCAAGCACTAGCTTATTTACCCTGGCTGAGACACTTAACTAAACTCAAATATTTCGGGCTGAAAAGAAAGCTACTAAGCTAACTAGTAAAAACACCTGATGATAACCGAATAATTTGCAGAGCTCTTAGAATCACTTTCCATTTCTCCTTAATCCTATTCATTGGGATAGTCAAAGACCCCAGAAAGAACAAATGTCTCCTAAAAGTGGTCATCCCTAGATATGCAGATTGCAATCACTACATATCAGAATGAGTGGTACGTTCTATATAGTCACTGTAGGACCTCAGGAGTTTGCGCAGTCTGATCTCTTCTTCAATATCAAATAAGATGTTTTGCTTTGTTTGATGTATGCATACAGATCTCATTAGCACTAACGAGACTTGAAGAGTGAGTTTATATACAGGAATTCTTTTAAATTTTGTCATCAAGAGAATACCTCCTTCTCTTTACTCAAGCAAAAATAAAAATCTATACAGCAGAGATTCCCAGAGCAAACAAAACCTTTCGGAATGACTAAAGATTACAGACTGAAATTTATCTATTATCCACCCTAGTTAAGTGGAGAAGTAGTTTTGCCTGTTAAGAAATGCTGGTATAAATACCCCAGTAAACATATCTTTGCTGGGCATCATTCATATCTTTTCAGGTCATAGATTGTGTACCCAACCAGCTAAACTAACTGATTTGGAAACTTTATTATCCATTGGTAGTATCAGTTGCTAGCTTGCAGCTGAACACACGTTTGCCCAGTGAACTATATCAGCTTCTTCCAGAGTCGCCAGAGGCTGTCAAGGATATTCTTAGTAGTTCTCAGATCATTGACCTGCTATGAGCCATTACAAGTCTATTGCATTAATCTAGCTGTCAGCTGTTGGCAGCTCTCAGAAACCAGTTTATTAAAATACTAAAGATAACATTGGTACAGACATCATGATTCATTTAGAAGCC